TCACATTTTGTTCATTTGTTCACCAATCAATGGACATTCTGGTTGCTTCCACCTCTTGGCTATTGTGAACAAATAGTGCTGCTATGAACATGGCTCTAAAAATATCTCTTTGAGTTCCTGCTTTCAATTTGTTTGGGTTTGTACCTAGAAGTGGGATAGCTGTATCTTGTAGTAGTTCTACTTTTAATTGTTTTGAACTATATTGTTTTCCATAGTGATTGTACCAATTCATATTTCCACCAATGATGCACAATGATTTCCTTTGCACCACATCAAATAACTGATAATTGTTATTTCTTGTCTTTTTGGGCTTCCCTTGTGGCTCAGCGGGTAAAGAATCTGCCTGAAACGCAGGAGACCTGGGCTCAGTACCTGGGTTGGGAGGATCCCCTGGAAAAGGGAAAGGCTACCCACTCCAGTATTCTTGCCTAGAGAATCCCATGGACAGAGGAGCCTGGCAGATTGCATACAGTTCAGAGGGTTGCAGAGTCAGAGATGATTGAAGTGACTGAGCACAGTAAAATAACTTGACTTATACACCATGAAATGATTATTGAGTCTAGAGAACATCTATCATCTTGTATAGATACAAATTTTCAAAAATAGAAAAAATCTTCTTTGGTGTGAGAACTCAGTATTCATTCTCTTAACAACTATCATATATAATGTAAAGTAGTGTTAATTATACTTATTATGTTATACTATTATATCCTTAGTGTTTATTTATCTCATAACTGGAAGTTTGTACCTTTTGACTGTGTTCATCCAGTTCTTGCTCTCTCCTACCCCCAATCTCTGGCAGTCACAAATCTGATCTCTTTTTCTGTGAGTTTGTTTGTTTTTGAAGTATAATTGACCTGCAACACTATGTCAGTTCCTGGTACACAACATGGTGAGTTGATATTGCTTTACATTTCAAAGTTATCAACACTATAAATCTAGTTATATATGTCACTATACAAAGGTATTACATAGTTACTGACTATATGCTTCACATTGAGTTTCATACCCATGACTCATTTATTTTGCAACTGGAAGTTTGTACCTCTTAATCTCTCTCATCAAATTTCTTTCCTTCTCCCACTCCACTCTCTTCTGGCAACCACTTGTTTGTTCTCTGTACCTCTAACTCTGTTACTGTTCTGTTTATGCATTTATTTTTTTAAGATTCCACATGTAAGTGAAATCACACAGTTTTTGCCTTTCTCTATCTGACTTATTTCACTTACCATAATACCCTCTAGATCTATCCAAGCTATCTCAAATGGTAAGATTTCATTCCTTTTTAATGGCTGAGTAATGTTCCATTGTGGGCTTCCCTGGGGGCACAGTGGTAAGGAACACAACTGCCAGTGCAGGAGGCGTGGGTTTGATCCCAGGGTCAGGAAGATTCCCTGGAGAAGGAAATGGCAACCTACTTCAGTATTCTTGCTTGGAAGATCGCATGGATAGAGGAGCCTGGAGGGCTATAGTCCATGGGTCACACAAAAAAGTTATACATGACTTAGCTAAACTAAACAATGATATTCCATCATCTTTCTATCTATCTCAATTTCTTTAGCCATTCATCTATTGTTGGGGACTTAGGTTGTTTCTGTATCTTGGCTATTATGAATAGTGCTGCAATGAACAGAGGGGTGCATATATCTTTTCTTATTTGTGTTTTAAAATTTTTGGATAAATACCCAGGAGAGGAACTGCTGGGTCATATGGTAGTTCTATTTTTAACTTCTTGAGGCGTCTCCATACTGCTTTCCATAGCAATTGCACCAGTTTACATCCCTACCAACAGAGTACTAAGGTTCTACTTATCTACTTCAATGCCAACACTTGTCATTTGTTGTCGTTTTAATAATAGCCATCTGATGGGTGTGAACATCACGGTTTTGATTTGCATTTTCCTGATGATTAGTGATGTTGAGCACCTTTTCATATACTTGTTGGCTATTTGTGAGTCTTTTTTTCGTAAAAAAAAAAAAATTCTATTCAGTCCATCTGCTCATTTTTAAAAGTTGGATTTTTGTTTTTTTTGGCTATTGAGTTGTATGAGTTCCTTATACATTTTGTGTATCAATCCATTATCAGATATATGGCTTACAAATATTTTCTCCCATTCCCTAGGTTGTATTTTCCTTTGGTTGATGGTTTCCTTTGCTGTACAGAAGTATTTTAATTTGATATAGTCCAAATTATTTATTTTTGCTTTTGTTGCTTTTTCTTTTGGTGTCAAATCCAAAAAAATCATTGCCAAGACCAGTATTAAGGAAGTTACCACTACGTTCAGATCTTTAACCCTTTTTGAGTTTATTTTTGTGTATGGTGTAAGGTAACGATTCAGTTTCATTCTTCTCCATGTGGTTGTCTGGTTTTCCCAGTGCTATTTACTGAAGTGGCTGGCTTTCCCCATTCTTGGCTCATTTTTCATAAATTAATTTGTCAAATATGCATATACTTATTTCTGGTCTCTCTCTTCTGTTCCACTGATCTGTGTGTCTGTTTTTATGCCAATACTATGCTGTTTTGATTACTTTAACTTTGTGATATAGTTTGAAATCATGAACTATGGTGCTTGCAGTTTTGTTCTTCTTTCTTAAGATTGCTTTGGCTCTTTGGGGTCTTTTGTGGCTCCATGCAATTTGAGGACTGCTTTTTCTGTGAAAAGTGCCATTGAAATTTTGATAGGGGCTGCACTGAACCTATAGTTTGCTTGAGTAATATAGACATTTTGAACATATTAATTCTTCTAATCCATGATCATGGAATATCTTTCCATTTATTTGTGTCCTTTCAATTTCATCAATGTCTTATAGTTTTCAGTAAATTGATCTTTCATCTCCTTGATTAAATTTTCTATGCAATTATAAATGGGATTGTTTCCTTAATTTCTCTTTCTGATAGTTCACTGTTAATGCATAGAGACAAAACTGATTTTTGTACATTGATTTTGTATTCTGCAACTTTACTAAATTTGTTTGCTAATTTTAACATTTTTTGGTGGCGTATTTAGGGTTTTCTATATATAAAATTATATCATCTACAAATAGAGGCAATTTTTCTTCTTCCTTCCTCATTTGGATGTCTTTTAGTTCTTTTTCTGCCTAATTACTCTGGCTAGGACCTCCAGCACTTTGTTGAATAAAAGTGGTGAGAGTGTGGGCATCCTTGTCTTGTTCCTGATCTTACAGGAAAAGCTTTCAGTTTTTCACCATTGAATATGATGTAAGCTGTGGACTTATCATATACGGCCTTTATTATCTTGAGGTAAGTTCCCTCTAAGGAGAAGGCAATGGCACCCCACTCCAGTGCTCTTGCCTGGAAAATCCCATGGATGGAGGAGCCTGGTAGGCTGCAGTCCATGGGGTTGCTAAGAGTTGGACACGACTAAGCAACTTCACTTTCACTTTTCACTTTTACGCATTGGAGAAGGAAATGGCAACCCACTCCAGTGTTCTTGCCTGGAGAATCCCAGGGACCGGGGAGCCTTGGTGGGCTGCAGTCTACGGGATCGCACAGAGTCAGACACAACTGAAATGACTTAGCAGCAGCAGCAGCAGCAGCAGTAAGCTCCCTCTATACCCAATCTGTTGAGTGTTTTATCGTGAATGAATGTTGAGTTTGGGGAAATGACTTTCCTGCATTTACTGATATGGTTTTTATCCTTCATTCTGTTAATGTGGAGGATTACATTGATTATTTGCACACGTGAACCATCCTTGCTTCCCTAGAATAAATCCCACTGGATCATGTGTATGACCCTTCAAATGTACTGTTGAATTTGGTTTGTTAATATTTTGCGGAGGATTTTGGTATCTATGCTTGTCAGGTATATTGGTCTATAACTTTCTTTTCCTGTAGTGTCTTTGACTTTGGTATCAGGATAATGCTAGCCTTATTATTATCTTATTTTATCACAAAAGTACCTGAGAATGTACAAAAATACCTTTTGAAAGTATTTATCCCCTATAGTATGCTCATTTCTGCACTATCAGGAGATTCTATTCTCAGTATCTCTTCCATTCTGTTCTTAACTTATGAGTCACCACTAACTCTTCTCCCTAAGTTCTTCACATGTCCCCACCACAGGCTAGAGAAATGACAACTTGTGGTGTTTGGAGAGTCATATTCTTCTCCATTTTGTTTTATTATAAGATATTGAATATAGTTATATGAATGTCCACTTTAAGAGGGCTAATTTTATGTTATGTGAATTTCACCACAATTTAAAAAAAAAGAGTGTCTACACATGCTTTTACAGAAAAGAAACTATAAATGACTTCAGTGACACTGAAGTATGGAGGGCAGTCAGGCTTCCTTTTACTAGAAATAAGACAAAAAAAAGCTTTCTTTCATATCCTATGAAGCAGCCATGCTCACACACAGTAGACTAAAAATCTAAATTGATTCAACACCTATAGAGGCCAATTTGTTAATAAATATCAAAATTACAAACACACCTTCTTGGATCCAGCCATTCCACTTCTAGAAATTTATCCTAAAGATACAAGTGTGAAGTGACCCACATATTGTATGAGAAAAAAAAAAAGTATCATACTTGGAAAGAAAGACCTTTTAGAAAAATATTTTAATATTAATTAAAATAAAAAAACAGCCCCCAAACCCCCAAATCAATGTAGGAATATCAGTTATATTCCTATGCCTTGACAATGCACTTGAGAGTGCCCTTCAATTGCAAGGAGTGTGAATTCCACATTTGGCTGGGGAACTAAGATCTCACATGCTAGAAAGTGGGGGCTGAAAAAAAAAAAAAAAAGAAAGAGAAGGAAAAAAAGAGAAAGAAAAAGAAGAAAAAGAAAACAAGAAAGAAAAAAAGAAAACAAGAAAGAAACAAAGCAAAAGAAAAAAGAAAGAAAAAGAAAGTTAAGAAAGAAACAAAGAAAAAGAAAAGGAAAGATAAAGAGAAAGAAAAAGAAAGCAAGAAAAGAAAGAAAGACAAAGTAAAAAAAAGTATATTAAACAACCTGGGCTAGGAAGTGCCAGGGTCAAGGGCCCACCCACTGAATACCAAAAAAAGTCTCATCAGCGTTTCTGGAAGGCAACAGAGGCAGAGTAAGGTTGGTGCAGAGAATGTCCCCACGAGCCAGGAAGGTGAGGCGCTGGGAGGCGACCCAGCAGCCTCCGCGGTGGAAGCTGAGGCGTAGCAGGCTGATGCTGTGGGCGGCAGGGGAGCAGATGGCCACCTTCAGCGTGGCTCTCTGGGGCTCGGCAGTCCACGTGGAGGAGGAGCAGTTGGCTAATGTCACCTGGATGTGCAGCCTATAAATGCCATCACGTTGGATCCGCAGCTGCCCGTTGTCGTCCAGCTCTGGCCCTTGCAGGAAGGAGCGTCCCAGGGCGGGGCTCCCCTGCCAGTGCAGCCTGGGGTCCTGCCGCGACCCTGGGAGGGTTGTGGGGGAGGGATGGAAGGATGGAGATGTAGGGAAACTGAGTGCTGTAGAAGGAGCGCCCCAAACTCGCATGTCCAAGCCTAACCTCCAAGGGGGTGGTATTAGAAGGTGGGGTGTTCAGAAGTGTTTAGAGCAAGAAGGTGGAGACCTTGTAAAAGAGACCCCATATCCACTGATGGATGAAAGGATGTGGAAGATGTAATATACACACACACATATATCTATACAAGGTGGTGCTGGCTTAGTTGTTAAGTCGTGTCCCACTCTTTCCAACCCCACAGACTGTAGCCTGGCAGGCTCCTCTGTCCATGGGATTTCCCAGGCAAGAATACTGGAGTGGGTTACCATTTCCTTCTCCAGGGTATCGTCCTGATCCAGGGATTGAACCCGTGTCTCCAGCATTGACAGGAGGTCGTTTCCTTCATTTCAGGCAGATTCCTTATTGCCTGAGGCACCAGGGAAGCCCATATCCATACATTCATGCGCACTATACACAGTATACCTATGTGTGCTCCTGCTCTGTCGCTCAGCCACGTCTGACTCTTTGCAAAACTATGGACTGTAGCCCACCAGACTCTGTCCATGAGATTCTCCAGGCAAGAACACTGGGATGGTAGCCATGCCCTTTCCAGGGGATCTTCTCAGTCCAGGGATTGAGACTCCAACCTGAGTCTTCTGCTTCTGCTGCATTGCAGGCAGGCTCTTTACCCTGAGCCACTGGGAAGCCCCGTGCCTAGGTGTATATATATATACATATGTATGTATTGTGGGGCTTCTCTGGTAGCTCAGCTGGTAAAGAATCCACCTGCAATGCAGGAGATCCTGGTTCAATCCCTGGGTTGGGAAGACCTGCCGGAGAAAGGAACTGGCTACCCAGTCCAGTATTCTCGCCAGGAGAATTCCATGGGCAGAGGAGACTGGGGGGCTACAGTCCATGGGGTTGCAAAGAGTCAGACACGACTGAGCGACTAAGCATAGCACAGCATGTATGTATATGTGTGTATTTATGTATATCTTTATCTATATTACACATATACCTAAAATGGATATAGATGTGATATATATATATTACTATGTATTATACATGTGATATTATAAACACACATCTATTTATCTATCTAAAGTGAAAGTAAAAGTTGCTTAGTGCCACTCTTTGTGACCCCATGGACTATACAGCCCATGGAATTCTCCAGGCCAGAGGACTGAAGTGGGTACCCTTTCCCTTCTCCAGGGGATCTTCCCAACCCAGGGATCGAACCCAGGTTTCCAGCATTGCAGGTGGATTCTTTACCAGCTGAGGCACAAGGGAAGCCCATCTATCTATCTAATTCAGCCATAAAAAGATAGAAATCCTGCCACTTGTGACAACATGGATAGACCTAGAGGACTTTATGCTAAAGTGAAATAAGTCAGACAGAGAAAGACAAATACTGTATGACTCATATGTGCAATCTAAAATAAAACCTGAACACATGGCTACAGATACAAAGAACAGATCAGTGGTTGCCAGAGGTGGGGGGTGGGTGGGTGAAGTAGGTGAAGGTGGTTGGAGGCACAAACTTAGAAAAAGTTATAAACTAAGTCCTGGCGATGTAACGTACAGTGTAGTAACTGGAGTTAAGTATACTATGTTGTATATTTGGAAGCGGCTAAGATGGTGATTGCAGCCATGAAATTAAAAGACACTTACTCCTTGGAAGGAAAGTTATGACCAACCTAGATAGCATATTAAAAAGCAGAGACATTACTTTGCCAACAAAGGTCCATCTGGTCAAGGCTATGGTTTTTCCAGTGGTCATGTATGGATGTGAGAGTTGGACTGTGAAGAAAACTGAGCACCGAAGAACTGATGCTTTTGAACTATGGTGTTGGAGGAGACTCTTGAGAGTCCCTTGGACTGCAAGGAGATCCAATCAGTCTATCCTAAAGGAGACCAGTCCTGGGTGTTCATTGGAAGGACTGATGCTGAGGCTGAAACTCCAATACTTTGGCCACCTCATGAGAAGAGTTGACTCATTGGGAAAGACCCTGATGCTGGGAAGGATTGGGGGCAGGAGGAGAAGGGTACGACAGGATGAGATGGTTGGATGGCATCAGTGACTCAATGGACATGAATTTGAGTAAACTCCGGGAGTTGGTGATAGACAGGGAGGCCTGGCGTGCTGCAATTCATGGGGTCGCAAAGAGTCGGACATGGCTGAGCGACTGAACTGAACTGAACTGAAGAGCACAGATCTTACAAGTTTCATGACAAGAAAAAAAGAATTGTAACTGTGTGTGGTGATGGGTGTTAACAAGACATTGTGGTGATCGGTTTGTACAAATATAGACCTATGTTGTATGCCTGAAATGTATACAATGTTATATGTCAACTCTGTCTCAATTTAGAAAGATAGGGAGAGAGAGCAAGAGCCCAGAGAGTTCTCTTTCCCCTCCTCCCCTTTCCGTCATATGAAGATACAGCAAAAAGATGACTGGTTGTTTATAAACCAGGAAGAGGGCATTCACCAGACAGCCAGACCTGCTGGTGCCTTGACCTTGGATTTCACAGCCCCCGACACCATGAGAGAGAAGCCTTATGTCAGCCTTTCTGTTCTTCTGTCATAGCACCCGGATCAGAAAGCCCCCAGAGAAAGAGGGGCTGATGATGAATCAAATGAAATGGAAGATGAATAGGGTTTCCATTTGTTACAAAATGGAATGAACACACCCAAACCCCTGGGGATGAGTGTGGGAGAGACCCAAAGAGGAAGAGGGTTAGAGAGAGGCTGGGAGGGGACTGCCAAAAGGCACCCTCCCTCACATTCCTTCATGTCCTTTGCTCTAAAGCCCTCTTCGCTGGGACACCCTCCCTGGTGACCACATTTTCAAGAGCACTCCCAACCCTGGCATGCCCGATGCTCCTCCTGTACTTAATATTCCCCCAAAAATACCAGGTGCGTGTTTCACTCTACTTGGCATGCTACATATTTTACTTGTTCATTTACTTATTTTCTGATCCCTTTGGTATCAGGGAAGCCCCAATAGGGCAGGGATTTCTGTTATGTTGGCAATCCGGGCGCCCAGAACAGAGCATGCCTCGTGGGAGCTGCCGAATTAACATTTGTGACTTGAATGAAGGCATGTTAGTCATGGCTATTAGCTTGGTTGAGTTTGTTTGAGCTCTCCCATGGGAGAAAATAAAATGCCCAGAAAGGAAACAGGCACCCAGAAACAGACTGCTGCATCGCCCTGTCTTTCTTTTTCTCATCCTTTCTCATTTTCTCTTTCTCTCCCTCTCTCCCCCACCCGCCTTCTATTCTCTTTCTCCAATACACATGCACATCCCGGGTTACCTGTGTGATTCAGCTGGAGCTCTGCTAAGTCCCACTGGAAGAAAAGAAAACAGACCTAAGCACCTAAACGTCAGGGGTCTGGAGTGATCCCTCGAGTCAAGAGCACGTTTTTCTCAGTGCATCCTCTATCTACCCCTCATTCCATGGGGCTGACTTGGAGCCTTTGTGAAGAGCTCATAAAGAGGAAGTAGATTTGAACTAGCCCTGAGCACAAAGAGAAGACCTTCAGAAGAACTTCTTAGTTTCCAGGATGTAACCCAGGTCGCCTCGCACATCTGCCTCTCTTGCCTGCAAAACCTGATGTAACCCCCAAAGTTGGCACCTGTGGTGGGTGTCCAGGGCTCCCCCTGTCCTTGGAGGTCCCAGAACTGCCCTTCCCCAACTCCGTGAAGCCCCTAGCAGCCTCTGAGTCAGCCTGCTGGGGGAACCACAAGGACGAGTAATTTTCCAGGCCCGTATGGAATGTATCTTTCTCACATGCACCCTCCAGCCTGGGATCTCCACCCCGGGGTTTACCTCCCGGGCAGAGCTGACTATCCTGAGTCAGAGACTCCTGGCGGGCAGGCTTGCCCCTGCTTTTTACCTCCTGCTCTGGTCTCTCTCTGTTCCTTTCTACGACATCTTTCTTCCTGGCGGATTTTTTTCGCTGTTGTTACCACTCTGGGGGGCCTGTGGGACCTTAACTCCCTAACCAGGGGTCGAACCTACACAACCGGCATTGGAGGCACGCAATCTTAACCCCTGGACCACCAGGGAAGCCCCCCTGGCAGATTTATATCCGTCTCATTCTGATTTTTGCTTTCTTTTGTTTTTTGGCCATAAGTCTGCTACTCTGTTCTCTTGCTCAACACCCCTCTGCTTTTTTTCCCCACTTGCTTCCCCTCGGCCCCCACCCCAGGGTCCAGTCCCCACCCGGAGGTCCCCAGGTAGCATACGCCTGTCTCTCCCCCTCTCTCTTCTCCTCCCGTTTGGACTTACCCTGGTTGAGTCCAGCTGCTGCTGCTGCCGGCTGAAGCACAGATTGCAGATGAGGTAGCATGTGCCCGTGCTAATAAGCACTGGGATAGTCATCCTCAGGATGGATGCCCAGGGCCGGCGGGGAACCTGGCAGCTTGAAGCCTCTTCTGCTGCCATCACGGTCCTCCACGAGCACTTCATCAGCTGGGGGCAGCAGGGAGGGTGCGCAGAGGGCAGGCAGGAAGGGGGAAGGAAGCTTCAGCTTTCTCACAGCCGCGGGGCTCTCTCTGCCTGTCTGAACCTGTCAGGGAGCAACCGTGCCCCTCCCTGGGGATGTCCGTCAAAGGGAGGGACCAGGCTCGTTCTACCATGCAGGGAAGTCCCCTCCAGCTGCTGCTGGTCCCCAGTCTGCAAAGTAAGTGGACCACGGTGCTCCTCAATTTTATTTATATGGCTCCCCACCCTCCCCAGGCTTCTGTGCTGGCTCAGATGGTCAAGAATCTGCTTGCAATGCAGGAGATCTGAGTCTTCCCTGGGTCTGGAAGATCCCCTGAGTAAGGGAATGGCTACCCACTCCAGTATTCTTGCCTGGAGAATCCCAGGGACAGAGGAGGCTGGGGGAGCTATAGTCCACAGGGTTGTAAAAGAGTCGGACACAACTTAGTGACTAACACCACCCTCCCCACCTTTCTGGCACTCATTTGTTTATTCAACAAACCTTCACTGAACACCCACTACAGATAAGATACTCTGCTGAATCCTGGGATACAGCCACAACACTCAGGGGGGACGGTGCTCAGGGGCTAAGTCGTGTTGATCCTTTGGGACCCCATGGACTGTAGCCCACCAGGCTCCTCTGTCCATGGGATTCTCCCGGCAAGAACACTGGAGTGGGTTGCCATTTCCTCCCCCAAAGGATCTTCCCAACCCAGGGATCAAACCTTAGTCTCTATGTCTCCTGCATTGGCAGGCAGGTTCTCTATCACTAGTGCCATCGAAGAGGGGTCCCCAAATATCTATGTGCCCCTCTCCATCTTCCCAGCCTCTCTGGTACCCGTGGTGGGACCATCCCTAATGGAGGTCACATGACCAACCACCTGCCCAATAGGAAGCGAGGAGACCAGAGGAGGGGCCAGATCTTGTCAACATGCCACAGTGCCTTTCGATTCTGTTGCTCTGTGGCCTTGAAGGACACCTGCTTTCTTTCTTTCTTCTTTCTTTTTTAAATTTTGTTTTGGCTGTGCTGGGTCTTCATTGCTACGTGTGGGCTTTCTCTAGCTGTGGTGTGTGGGCTTCTCCTGTTGCAAGGCACAGGGTCTAGGGCACACAGGCTTCAGTAGTTGTGGCTCACCGGTTTACTTGCTCTGCGGCATGTGGGATCTTAGTTCCTGAACTGGGGATCGAATCCCTGTTCTCTGCAGTGCAAGGCAGATTCTTAACCACTGGACCATCAGGGGAGCCCCAGAGGGCATCTGTTCTTGATGACTGTCGTGGCTTGAATATGTCCACCCAGAACTTCAGCACAGGACCTCATTTGACAAGAGGGTCTTTGCAGAGGTAAGAGTGAGGGGACTCTTGTATTCCATGTGTTGTAAAGAAAAGGCGAGGACACACAGACACAGACGGAAGTTGGAGGCAGACATCAGAGTGATGCAATACACACCAAAGAACCCCAAGGATTGCCAGCAAACTCCAGGAGGCATGAATAGGCCAGGAAAGATTCTCCCCTAAAGCCTTTGAAAGAATCAGATGCCTTGATTTTCAGATCTCCAACCTTCAGAACTGTGAAAAAGTACAGTTCTGTTGTTTCAAGCCACTGCTTGTTGGTCCTTGGATATGGCAGCCTCAGGAAACCAGTAACAATCTTGTAGCTACAAGATGAAGGAAGACCACCTAGGATTGTAGGAGTGTGTCAATACTAGTTAGTATCAGTGAATCAAGTCACTCACCCCCACTAGTAGTACAAAATCTGTCACAGACTGTGCATACTAAGGGCACGTGACTGTGGTCTTAGAGGCTTTGCTTGTGGACACTGAGACTTAAAAATTTCATCCCAGAGTGAGGAGTTATAGTAGCCTGGCCCGGGACGGGGGGGATGGGGGTTGTAGGGACAGGGGGAATGGGGGTAGAAGGTGGATACAGAATAGATTTTAGCTGAAGCCACTAGTGTTTGCTGGTATGGGGGTGCAAGTGGAAGAAAGAAGGGAGTCAAAGGTGTCCAGAATTCCTTTATGCTCACTGAGACCCCCATCTGCAAAAGGAATTTCCTTTATGAAAGCCCTGGTTTTCCAAGACTTGGGGGTTCAGCCAGCAGCACACTCAAAGGGACCTCAATCTCTCCTTGGCCTGGGGGCTTGATCCTTGGAACTGTCCCCAGCCTTCTTTCATACTAGATGAAACCCCTGCTTTGTTCTTTTTCTTTTGTTTTTTAAGATTTTTTTTTTTGATGTGGACCATTTATTTCTAGAAAAAAATTTCTAGATTTAAAAAAAAATCCTATTTTTTTAAAGCCAGCCTTGCTGAGTTTTTATTTATTTATTTGACCGCTGCGGCATGCAAGTGTGGCATGTGGGATCTAGTTCCCTGACCAGGGATTGAACCTGACCCCCCTGCATTGGGAGGGTGAAGTCTTAACCACTGGGCAGCTAGGGAAGCTCCCACAAAGAACTTTTAAAAAATAATTTTATTTATTCATTTATTTTTGGCTGTGCTGGGTCTTCATTGCCGCACACAGGCTTTCTCTAGTTGTGGGGCTACTTTCCCACGGTGGTGCGTGGGCTTCTCATTGCCGTGGCTTCTCTTGTTTCAGAGCATAGACTGTAGGGTGCGTGTGCTTCAGTAGTTGTGGTGCACTGGCTTTGTTACTCTGGGGCTTGTGGAATCTTCCTGGCCCAGGGATTGAACCTGTGTCCCCTGCTTTGGCAGGTAGATTCTTAACCACTGGACCACCAGGGAAGTCCTCATGTGGACCATTTTTAAAGTCTTGACTGAATTTGATACGATATTGTTTGGTTTTTTTGGCCATGAGGCATATGGAATCTTAGCTCCCCAACCAGGGATCCAACCTGCACCCTTTGCATTGGAAGATGAAGTCATAACCACTGAACCCCCAGGGAAGTCCCTCGCCTGGACCTCCTCGCTGTGTTCTAAAGTCTAGCACCACTGGCTAACTTCATCTCTAGGACCTTCCCATCCACATCGTGTCACGATCCCCACTCCAGACCTTTGATGGTATTTTGCAGCCCATCTGGAGTCCTTTCCCCACCTCCATCAAGCTGAAAGCCATTCATAGTCAAAAATAATTTCTACAGAGTGCAGTGAAGTACCTAGATTCTGGAGTTTCTCAGCACACCTGGATTCCAGTCTCTGGACTTTCCCATATTAGTCTTTGGGAAACTCATGCCCTCATCAGTTTAAGTTCAATGTTTCCATCTACAAAGTGGGCTGTGAAATATGACAAACTAGTGATGATAAGGTACAAGAAGCAGACTCACAGATAGAACAAACTAGTAGTTACCAGTGTGTGTGGGTGGGTGGGCAATATAGGGGTGGGGGAGGGGAAGGTTCAAATTGTCAGGTGTAAGATAGGCTCAGAGATGTACTGTACACCACGGGGAATATAGACAATATTTTTTAATAACTAGGGACTTCCCTGGTGGTCTAGTGCTTAAGAATCCGCCTTCCAATGCAGGGGACATGGATTCGATACCTGGTCAGGGAACTAAGATGCCACATGCTGGGGGATAACTAAACTGGTGCACTACACTACTAAGCCTGAACATGCTCTGGAGCCCAAGCTCAGCAACGAGAAGTCCCCAGTGTGACACGGCTGGAGAAAGTCCAAGTGCCACACCAAAGACCCAGCACAACTAAAATTAAAAAAAAAAAAAAAGCCACTACTGAAAAATAAATAGGGGCTTCCCTGGTGACTCAGTGGTAAAGAATCTGCCTGTCAGTGCAGGGTACTTGGGTTCAATCTCTGATCCAGGAAGATGCCACAAGCTGCAGAACAACTAAGCCCGCGTGCCTCGACTACTGAGTCTGCACGCTAGAGCTCCAGGGTCACAAATGCTGAAGCCCTTGAGCTCTAGAGCGCTCGCTCCACAGCAAGAGAAGCCACTGCAATGAGAAGCTCATATGCTGCAACTAGAGATCAGCCTAGCCCCTGCTTGCTGCAACTCGAGAAAGCCCTCGCGCAGCAACAAAGAGCCATCACAGCCAAAAATAAATAAATAGATCTTAAAAAATAGAAGACACGCCTTAAGGGGCTTCCCTGGTGGTCCAGTAGTAACAACTGTCCTTACAATGCCAGAGACACCGGTTCAGTCCCTGGTCTGGGAGGATCCCTCATGCCGAGGAGCAACTAAGCCTGTGCGCCCCAACTACGGAGCCCACTGCTGCAAATACTGAAGCCCATGTGCCCAAAGCCTGTGCTACAGAACAAGAGAAGTCACCGCCTTGAGGAGTCTACGTATCTCAACTATACAGTAACCCCACTCACCTCAACTACAGAAAGCCATCGCATAGAAACAAAGACCAACCATAGCCAAATAAATAAGTAAATCTTAAAAAAGAAAACTTAAAAATATTTTGCAATTGCAAATATTGCAGTTGCCAATGGAAAGTAATCTTTAAAAGTGTATGAAAATAAAAATTGAAAAAATAAAAAATGGGCTGTGATGATGTTTTAAAGAGAGATATATGCAAGGCCCTTAGCATGGTGTAAGCACACAGCAAGGGCTCAATAAAGACTAGCTTTTAATTTTGCTATTTCCCCTCCAGGAAATGCTGATTAGAAAGATGGCAAAAGGGCCCAAGCCAACAATTCACAAAGTTCAGGTAGCTGATCAACACAGAGAGATGAGGTCAGCTGCTCCTGGCAATAAAATGCAAATCCTTTCTCTTTCATGGCCAAGGTTAAAAGATGTCTAAACCCTAGGTGAAGTCCCAGCTGGATCACAGATTTAAGTGTTAAAAAAAAAAAAAAGAAAAAGTCATGGAAGTGAAATTGAGCAGGGTGCTATGTCCTTCCACCCCACAATCTCTGCCTGCATTTGTAGAAAAACTTTAGCCAAAGAGTAAGTTTAATCAGAGAAGTGAGAAAATATAGAAACAAAGGAAAACAGTTCAACAAGACTAAATAATAATAGTTTAGTCATTAAGCATGGTGAAGGACCTTTAGGTCCTCCTCAAGCGCTGTAGATAATAATTGGAACCATCAACTATGAGCTGTCTTGTAGATACTGAAACTCACACCAGGTGGAAGAAGTTAGCTACATGATGAGCAGACTGGAGCCATGACAAGCTGCTACAATTCCAGGAACTGGTCTCAAGGAAATGGGAACAAACTAACTCTGGAACTGAAGATTAA